TCTTCTCAAGTATGTCGATTCTAAGGTCTACTGCTATGAAACGGCCACCTGATTTCCGGCTATGAGTCCTCAACCGCTCAACCATTGATTCAGCCACTGCATTCACTTCGGGTTGCAGCTCCAATGACCCAAACATTGCTAAACATGCTACTGGATCAGTTTCGCCATCTTGTGAGGATTTCCTCAAGTTTACAGAAGGAAAGTATGATGCGACTCGAATGTTTCCTTTCGATTTGAAGATGGGATCAATGTGCTCCTTAATGTAATCTTCTGTAACTCTGGTAGGGACCTTCACAATGGCCATGTTCCTAAGAGAAACTTCTTCAGGCAATTGTTTCACAACTTTAACAACATTTTCCAAGCTTTTAATTAGTTTATCCGCATCATAGATATCTTCAAAATTCCTGAGAAAGCAGTTAAAAATTGTTTAGAAATCTAAGAAACTAATTAGCAAACCAAAAATGTCATGAACATACAAAAACAACCCTAACCTTTCATCACCAGGTTTGCTTCCTCTTATATCAGGAAGTACTAGAGTTGCTCCAAGATGCTTTGCCACCATTACAGCATCAGAAATCTAAAACAAGACTAACAAAATTAACCACACAAAACAACAAGAAGAAGAAGATAACAACACATCTAAAGAAACCTATGATTGAGTTCACAGATTGGTAAAATTAAAGATCATCACTTTAGATTTTTTTTTTATAAAGCACACCTGAGAGATATGGTACTCAGGACCATTGGTTAGTGAGAATGTAACATACCCTTTCGATGATACCGCTTCATCTGCAACAATGAAGTCATTTGTCAATAGTCCAAAATCAATGATGCAAACGAAATTAAGAAACTGCATAAGACACATACCTGATAGTAATGTTGGCCAACAAGGATTAAGATCAGTGTTATCCTCCATCCAAAGTCCCTTACTGCCTTCAACGGTTCCGACAAGACCATCTTTCACAGAGACTTTAGATCCTTCAAATTCAATATCTTGTGCATCTCCCTGAGCTTTCTCCTATAAAAAAAATACCCAAAATGACAAAGAAAAAAACTTAAGAGTAGGATATTGAGTTTTAGCTACAGAAGAAAAGGTTGAACCTTTTTCACTATTAGTTTACACCAAAAGAGATGAAATCAATCATGTCCTAGTGATCCGCAGAAAAAAACAGTTGAGTCTACTAATTTGGGTTTCTTATGATCAATGTGCAATCCAACTTTTGATCTAAAAATGGAAAGTTCTGGTTTTGATCAGGTAAATTTCACAGAACAACTAAATTTTCTAACTTTGAAGAATTAGATCTAACTTCAAAAGGCATCTAAGAGAAGAATCAAACAGAACCCACTTGAACTAAGCTGAAATGAGTATGAGTAAAAAGTGTCGGCAAAGAAGATTACCTGAAGAGAATCAAAGTAATCTCTATGAAGCATCTGTCCAAGCATGACAAACATGGTAATGGTGAGAATACCAGCCACTACTTGCCTCAAATCAACACCCATTTCTTACCTTCTCTCTACAGAAAAGCAGAGGATTCTGAGTTAAAATAGACTCAAGGAAAGGAAGAAAAAGAGAGTCCAGCAAAGAGAGGTGTTGTTTGTGGGGCAGATAGAGACAAGCTATCTTCCTCAAATATGAAATCTCAGTTCTTTGTTTTTCAATTAATGTTTTGTCAAAAAAGCTCTCTTTTTTGTTTTGAGGGAGTGTTATTGTCAGTGTTGATTGTTGAAGTTGAAGTTGAAGTCTTACGCTATCTTCCACAGCCACCGACACTTCTGCCGTGAATTTTGGTATAAACTTTAACCGGTGGGTGGTTTCACTAAACCGGTCAAACTAAGACAACACTGTAATTACTTACATAAACTCATGAGTTTCAAAATTTTATTTTAACGAAACTAATTGTAAAATATCAATAAATTAAGCTGTTAATCATTTATATACCTTCGAACTCACAAATTGTTTAGTTCGTTCAATTGGTTTTACATTTGTTAGTGTTACATTACCAACTATAACTTTAAAATGTGGTTGATGAAAGAAAAAAAAACTTTAAATCACGGACTCATCAGTAATCGTATAAAAAAAGTGGAGTCGGTAATCACAAAATATATTTTCTATCATTGACAATAAAGTAAGAATATACTAAAATTCCCTTTCATATAAAATAAGAATTAAGTAATTAACAAACAAATTATAAGCAAATGATAAAGCACTGGATTACAGATAGGGTTTGAAACACATTTTAAACATATCATTTGTTTGACATGAGACTAATTTAGTAATTATACTACCCCAAAAGCAACTATAATGATGCATATAGCTTTCGTTAGAGGCCACATACGAGTTTAAACTTCAAATGCTCAACTTTTTGCTAATCACACATTGTTTAGTAATCATTTAATTATCAATGTACCGCATCATTAGTAGTTGTACATTAGTCATATCCTCTATAATTATATTTTCGTAAAAATTGGTGGAACATGAGGAAAAACACACATGTTGATCAATGATTATAATTCATGCATGACTCTGTGTTCTTCTTTTTTATTCCTTGTCTTCTAAGTTTGTGTGAGGGGATCAGGATCACCATGAGCACTTGATTGTTGAATGGTAGCGTAACGCAGTGTGCAACAATTACACCACTTGATAACTTTTTGATGTAACTCTCTTCTTCTTTTTTTACCCAATGCACACGTCAATATATATACTGTTGTTGTATATGATTTTAGAAACACATATAAGCAACACAAAATGACATGATAATAATTAGGGACCCTTTAAACCGGGGAAATTTTGAATTTGTTTCGGTTAACATTGATACCGTACCGAACCTCCGGTTTATTGATTTCGAAGTTTATCTTGTTTTCGTCAAACACAGAGATCCTCTCTCTGTCTCTCTCTCAGAGCAACCAAAATGCAACTCCAAACCCAATCCTTCGCTCTCAATCTTCTCCCATCTCAGAATTTCGCCAAACCCATCGAAAGACGTGAATTCATCTCTCTAAAACGAGACCCATCTCGTCCAATTTCTCTCCGATGTTCCGTTTCCACGGCTTTGGATACTCCGGCGACCGCTTCGACCCACAAGCCCTTTCCGGCGGAGGTTTCAAGGAGTATCATGGAGCTTTCCTCCGTTGGAACTCTCTCCACTTTGACCCACGACGGCTGGCCTCTCGGCGTAGGAGTTCGCTTCGCCGTTGACAAAGATGGCACTCCTGTTCTATGCCTCAATCGCTCTTTCTCTCCTGACAAGAGGTCTGCTCTTCATGTTCAGGTCCTCTTTTGCTAATTCCACTCTGTTTCTTCTTGAAAAAAATGGCCAATCTTTTTACTTCTTTTTGAAGGAAAATCATGAATTGTCTTTGGTTATTGTTCTTCTGATCGTATCCTTTTTTCGATACTTGTTTATGGAATCAGTTAGAACAATGTGGATTAAGGACTCCTCAGTGTACGATACAAGGTAGCATTGGTCGACCTGGAGACGATACTGTTCTAAAGGTATGATTTTGTAATGAATATCTCACTCTAAAGAACTCAACTTCAATCTTGGAGCTTTACGTAGATATACATTGTGTATGATGAACCTTTGTATGGACTATAAGGTTTCTTGATTGACCTGTTACTGTTTTTGTCCTTGCTACTGCTGCTATCCTGTAGAACTAGAACCCCAAGTTCTTAGGGTAAAGAAGACTTGCATTTATATTCATTTTCTGTGTGTGTGTTAGTATTGGCTAGTTGATATCTAATTGTAGACTAGACTTTAGGCATTTTTACTATTCCCATAGTGTTCCTATTGGTATTTTAAGGAGCTGTTGCGTGTGTGTAGTTGAAGATAGTGGTGTTGAGTTTCCTAGCCTCTAGGAGATGTCTATGGAAATCAGTTGGTTATTTCTCATAATAGTGATTTTAAGATGCTATTGCTAGGTTTATTGCCCCTTTCATGTGCTTTTACCTGAATTGAATCCAAGTCTCCATGTTTTTTATGTAGCGTCTTAGTGCTACATGGAGGGAAAAGTTTGGCGAAGAAGTTGAGGAAGACAGTTTATATGTTGTTGCAGTTGACCGTGTTCTCCAAATGGAAGATTTCATGGAGGTAGAGATCGCAAGCTCTTTCAGTTTCTAGTGACAGTTAATTATCTCTTATATCAGTTGATCTCCTACTGATAAAAGAACATGGAAATTTGTTGTGATCCAAACTCTAATAACAAAGTCTAAGCAATTTCACTGTTTTACAGGACGGAATCTGGGTGGCGTCATCAGATTATAAAAATGCAAGTCCTGACCCTCTCAGAGATGTTGCAGAAGACATTGTCAACAATATTAACACTAACAACATGGAAGACATTTTCCGTTTCTGCAACGTATACGTGGATCTAGACTTTGTGGTTAGTATTATTGAACATGCTATGCAAATACTTCAAAGAATGTTCAATCTAGATAACATGTTCAGTCTTCCAAACTATTTTGCTTTCTCTTTTTTTTCAGTTTCACTTGTTATTCAGGGTTATCATTTTCCAATTTATACCAGGTTTCGGAAACAAAGATGATATGGATGGATAGGCTTGGATTTGACCTCCGAGTATGGTCTCCACGAGGTGTATATGATGTGAGGATTCCATTTCCAATGGAAGTAACAGATGAGAAGGGAGCAAAATCATCCTTCAATGGGATGTCACAGCTTGCTTGGGAAGTAGAGAAAAGCTATTGTCCTGCAGATTTCAACAAGGTCAAACTATTTAAGCAAGTTGTGGGATCATCACACAAGGGACGACAATAACGGTTCTATTGACTTTTTTTTTTTGTTGTCCCCAGTATTCTTTGTTTACTAGTTGATGCCAAAAATTGGCCATCGGCATCGACTCTGTTGTGGCTCTTGCAAAAGTATATGTTCTGTGTAAAAGGGCATGTATCCGACATGAAGTAAGATTTCTCATCTTTTGTATTTTATTTTATTATTAGGTCTATTCGGAGCACAAGAGACACAAATGAAAGAACAATATTATTACTCAGTTTTAACAGTACTAACGTAGGCGACCTAGACAGTCATAACACACTATGTGTCTCTCTGTTTTGAAGACTATTTTCCCCTCACACCAATTATCGCATTCATAGCATCTGTTGCGAGTAAGACGATTATTGGGAAGAATGTCAAAATTTATTTCATCTAATTTGATTTTTCCACCAGGCATCATATACATGTCGTCCTCTCCAAGTAAACATTTGATATGAACTATGACGTTGCAGTCATTGCACATATAAATTCCAGACTTGGGATTTGCATCTTTTTCACAAACATCACACCAATACTGACCACTTGCCTCTTTATCAGAAGAAAAGGTGAGAAAATGGTCATCATGTTTGTACCTCAACTTATTGGGTAAAGTGGCACATCTAAAGCACAAAATAAAACCACATTCTCCACAGTTTAGACGATAACCTCGGAATGTTTTGCAAATCGAGCAGATTTCTTCAGATAGGGGTTTAAATGTCAGAAACAAGGGATGTGGATGACACCGATGATCTAATGGCTCATCTATAGAAGCGCAACATACGTCTAACTTATAAGATTCATCAGAATTCAATGTGAACGCCATATAATCACAATCCCCTTCAGAACACGAGTATGTGAACCCATTGCTTGGACGCTTACAAGCTATACATTTGAATGAATCTTCTTGATGATCCACTTGTAAACTAAGGAGATGAGGATGTGTCGCATGATGTTTCTTCCGAGGAAGATGTGCACATTCCTGATGGAGAATGAAATCACACTGCATACAATTGTAAATAATATCACCATAGATACAGGCCCGGCTTAGAGGCAGTGCTGAGAGTGCTTGGTCCACATTTTTTTGTTAGTTTTTGTGAAGCTTTAAGGTCCTAAATTTTTGATATTTTTGCAAACAAGGGTCTTAAATTTTAAATCTATACAAATAAGACCTTAAGTTTCAGAAAAAAAAATAATTGGGCACAAGGTCCAAAAAAAATTTGAGCCGGCCCTGCATAGATAGGAAGTGTACATGCTTGACAACGTTTGTTCTTGTCAAATTCTCTATTGGTCTCCTCGTCGAGTCTCATGTGATGATTTTGATGACTGAAATGTTGTATAATTCCATCACTTACCTCATTGAACGACCAGTGGCGGATCTAGAAACAAGTTTTGTAGGGGTCAACATAATACAAAATTTTTATGATGAACAATAAATTGAAAAATTATATGAATTAAAGGAGTCATTTGGAAGTTAGAACAAAAATTTATAGGTGTCAAACACTAATTTTTACCAAATATTTCCTCAAATTCAATCAAATTTACACTAAAAATAACTAATATATAAAATTTATACAGGTCATGTGACCCCACTCACCCCTTCTTACCTTCACCCCTGTGAACGACCAGATATCATCATATGTATCTTCTGGTTTTCTCTCAAGTTCTTTTCCGTCCCATACATATTTTCGTGTTGCACATTTAGAATGAACCCCGAAACTGCAACCCTTCATGCATGTATATCTTCCATAATTTGTGTCTATCTTTCCATGACACACTCCACAAAGCCATTTCTCAGGAGTCAGCAAAGAGTTGAAAGAGAGGCGGCCGGTGTTCATGACGCGATATTCTTATGATCCATGGCATGTCGACATAATCTTTGTGGGTTAGAAAATCACATCGAGAACATGAATACATCAAAGACCTATGATTACTCAAAGCACAAACGTCACAAATCGGTGAGCCTTTTCTAGGAAAGTAGAAGAGCGTATGTTCATGCCTTTTTGGATTATCTATTTCAAGGAGTGGTGGCTCTTGTCAAATATTATAGAATAGAATATATTATTGAGTTGTCCCTAATATGAGAATATAAGATACATATATATAGTGTCAACATTAACATAATGCTAACACCCACATAATGTAAACTTTCCTAAACACATAAGTAAATAGCTTGTACAAGAAGTAATATAGAGATTTAGAATATTTTTCGGTTTAGGCTTCACGGGCTTCACTTCATAATGGACTTTAACGGTCCATATTACTTGGTCCGCAAGATACACATCTTGCTTATCTCCAATACTCCCCCGCACGACAAAGTTGGGACGCGAAACGCAAAATATGCAACCACAAAGCGGAACACCTATGTCGTGGACATCATGTCAAGGACAGACAAATCATGTCAACAGACTCCTCAGAGTATAAACTTCAATCTTCAAAAGAGGGTGGAACTTCAGCTCGTCTTTGGTCTTGGTAAAAGGGAATAACAACATCCCGTGTGCGCAAATCCTGCAACTCCACAAATAATCGTCCTATCTCAGACAGTCCACAAACTAGACTAAAAAAATTGACCTAAACAAACATGAGCGTTCCAAACAACTCCCCCGTAATATGAGAAATCAAAACTCATATATAAAAAATTGAATTTGAAGCGCCTTTAGCTGCTTCGATCTTCACACTCTCCAGAAACGCATTCTGCAGCTCCTTGATCTTCACAATTCTTTGAGCGCCTTCCGCAGCTCTTTGATCTTCACAACATTCTGAGCGGCTTTCTGCATCTCCGATAACCTGAACAACAGTCTGAGCGTCTACCACAGCTCTGATGACTTTAACAATGGTCTGAGCGCCTTCCGCAGCTCTTTGACGACTTTTACAATGGTCTGAGCACATTCCGTAGCTCTGATGACCTAAACAACGATCTGAGCGCCTTTCGCAGCTTTGAACTTAACAACACTCTGAGCGCATTCCGCAGCTCTGATAACTTTAACAATGGTCTGAGCGCCTTCCGCAGCTCTGAACTTAACAAAGGAAAAACAAACAAGCCCATGCTAAACCAAAACCCTAAAACACTAAGATCTACCGCCGTGAACGAGATCTAAACCACTCTCCCAAAACTGAAACCCTAACCTTAACCAAACCCTTTCTCTCACCACTGAAGATCTCACGAACTTGAAACTAAACCCGACTACTAGAAAGCATCAAAGCGAAAACTCCGACAAAGACCAAAACGACTAACAAAAACAAAAAAAAACACCAACGACCCTCTCTTTTTTTTTTTTTTTTTTCATCTTTGCGGAAGCTAAACTAAAACCCTAAAAATTTGAACTTAAAGCTCTGATACCATGTCAAATATTATAGAATAGAATATATTATTGAGTTGTCCCTAATATGAGAATATAAGATACATATATATAGTGTCAACATTAACATAATGCTAACACCCACATAATATAAACTTTCCTAAACACATAAGTAAATAGCTTGTACAAGAAGTAATATAGAGATTTAGAATATTCTTCGGTTTAGGCTTCACGGGCTTCACTTCATAATGGACTTTAACGGTCCATATTACTTGGTCCGCAAGATACACATTTTGCTTATCTCTAATAGCTCTCTGGCACAGTCATCACATATAGTAAAATCGCATATAGAGCAAACGTATTGCCGATAAGTATAGTTTAAACAGCATAAGCATCTCTTTCTTGAGTAAAAACCATTAATACGTTGAAAAAGCCGAAGAGAATGTTTAGGATGATATGGGTGCTTTGATATCGGCTCGATGCACTCTTTGTGGAAGCTAACAGAACATAGTTAGCAGGAATAAAATGGGCTATAGTCTATCGGATTATTGCAAATCCAGCATGAGATATTTTCGTATGTCGTACCCTTTATATTGTTGCACCAATCTAAGGGATGGATGTGAAAAGCGTCGTATCCGGGCATCGGAAAAACTAGGAGGACGAATTGGTAATTCTCTGAAATGTATACAGCGAAACTCGTCTTCCTCATACCAAAATTCTGAAAAAAGGCAAAGGGGCATATTGCTGTGTTGACTTAGAATCCATAGCTATAACGGAACAAAGTAGATGATGGATAGATGATTTGAGAGTATAAGCTTACATGCTTATAATATATATATAGGGTTTGGTAACGAATGCAAATGTTTCTTGTTATTTTTAATACATTCTAAAATTCCTCACGCAAAGTCCTAATTAATACCTTTATGCGTTTCCCTTTGCATGTCTATCAAATTTTCTGATGTTACTTAACTTCTCGACAAGGAAAATGCTACATTTTCTTTTTTTTTAAAAAGGTATTATTACCTTCTTTATATAGATCAACAAAGCAACAAAGCAAAAGAGAAGTCTTGCTTGATGAACAATTTGTCTTTGACATACATGTCCTCTAAAACAGGCAACGTATTTGGGCCTAATTCAGAAAGGCCCAATGGGCTGAGAACGAGTCGGGGGTTGACTAGGTTTCTCTTCCCAGGTAGCTCTTGCTCTTCGTTCTCAAAGACGTTTCTCCGATCGATCTAATGGGAGATGATGATGACAAAGAAAGAATTGCTGCAAGTGTTCGAAAATACGAATGGGAGAGCTCTTTGTCCTTGCACTCATTAGATTCTACATCACAAACTCATGCATGCCTTTTTGCTTCATGTTTATGTTTAGTAAAAAACTATTTAGATTTCTAAATGTTTGATCTTGAGTTGTGTGAATCTAAAACGTTTACGAGTGTTTGATGAAACTGAATTGAAATTGAAGTCTTTCTGCAGCTTTTAGAAACTCTCAAGTAGCTATCTTCCCACTGTTCTTAAAAAATGGGTCGTTTGAGCTCACATTTGATGATCTTTACTTCAACAACTTGTAGAGGGTTTCAATCTTTTACCTGTGTTCGGTTTTATACATTTTTCTTCCTTCTATTAACCTCCCTAACTCTTATCTTGTTTTTCTTGACAGTTCTGCGCTCGGACACACCTCAAGTCTAAGACCATGGTTTTGAGTTTTGATGTATTGCTTCTCTGTAAAGTGGGAATGCAAAACCCTTTTCTGCACAAATCTTTTTCTTTCTTGTCTACAATGATGAAAGCTTAATCTTAATAATGAAGAAAATTAACATGTTTCTTGCTTGAGACAATCATTTATGGAATCTTTTTGGGTTTCTCGTGTTAATTATATGACCTACCTTTCTTTACAGCAAATTAACAATGGTGTTCGAATTCAGAGAAACAAAAAACAAGGCCCTCATGAACCTACTATACCTCAAAATCTGATAAGGAAGCGTCCAAAAGATAAACAGATTTTTGTTCGTGAAAATGGAAGCGAAGCTTGTTCATTTGAAAGAACGCACGACGGGGAGAGTCACTAAATTCACTTTTGGTTCTCACATCCAGAGACAAGTAGTCCAAAGCCATACAGTAACGTCAGTTAGATAAGAGATAGTTGCATTGGATGGACTCCATTGAAAAGTGTTAGGCTCACAGGAACTCCTGGCTCTGTTCCTGGTCGTCAGAAGATGATCTTACTTCAACTTTGTACGTGTTTCGCTTCTCTATTTGAGAGCCTTGGCTTTCTCTTTACTGGTTGTCCCTGCATTAGGCCAAGCCAGAGCTGGGAATGTATATATATGTTTGCTCAACTATAAACCTACAATGTAATGGAGTGCCTATCTTCAAATGTTAAATCAGCTGTCAACTTCAACAACTGACAAAATGGATGTGCTTGTTCATCAGCCTAAGTAAGAACAGTGAATGATCGACATGGGAAATGCTGAAGAATGACACCGATGTGATTGATCATGAGAGCAACATTCCATGTCCATGCAGTGAAACGAAGTTGATCAAAGCCCTCTGGATGTTATCATGTTATGATCTAATGTAATGTTATATCAAGCTAACATAGCAAATGGACTTTCATTAGGATGAATCGATCCAGAGAGCAACATTCCATGTCCATGCAGTGAAGTGAAGTTGATGAAAGGCCTCTGGATAATATCATGTTATGATCTAATGTAATGTTATGTTATGTTATATCAAGCTAACATAGCAAATGGAGTTTCATTAGGATGAATCAATCAGAATGTCGAAAATGAATCCCACCAAGTGATGTGTTAAGCCGCAATAAGATAAACAAATGGCAAACCAAACTCCTACAGAATTCAAACAATCATCAAAAACCACACTGCGAATGCATGTAGTAAAGCTAATAGAAACTGAAATGTTATATGTTGATGAGGTCACACTATATGCATCCAACACATGACAAAGAAGTAATGCTGATGCTTAAAAATGTCGAGAATGAAAATGGATGCAATGCGGACTGCCTGCAAGATGCATCCTATTCGTGCAGTTGTTGGGAGATAAGGAAGAGAGTACGTCCCCCTTCAAGGCCTACTGATATGTCAGAGCTCCTTGGGCTCCATTTGCACTTGGAGAAGGAAAGAAAGAATAGCCGCCACCTTCCTTTCTCTTCCCATATGGATTCTTTGAATATGTATCATTGGGTTAAGGAGAATCAAACAGAAAAGAAAAAAGAACTTGGCATACTGGAATATAAAAAAGCAGATAAATTTTTTCTGGAGAAATATAAACAAGCAGAGAGAGTAAGTATATAAAAGGATATTGGATCCTCATGCCAATTGAACCAGAACTTGGAATGACAGCACCTTGCAAATTATGGTGAACATTTGTGGCACTATTGACATCCTGCAAGTCCAGATAGAACAATTTAACAATATGCTAGAAGAATATTGTCTGGCACGTATAAACACAAATGGTGAAGGTTTCAGAATTAACCTCGAATTCAATAAAGCATACTGTATGCCTTTCTTGTCTCAGAATCTTCATTTGTTTGAAACCAGGTTGCCTGCAAAATGAAAGTACAGTTTACCACAGAATTCTTGAGAACACAGTGATACAAAAAAGCCAAGATCTCAAGGAAAGCAATGGACAGGAGTGTCACTAAAGCAAACAGATACTCACGCGCTCAACAGGCTCCTCAATTCTTCTTCGTTTATATTCTCCCCAAGATTACCAATAAATAGGGTATTGCAAGGGGGATTATCCTTAATATTCTGCAATTGAAAAAAATTGAAAACAGCTTGAGACATATATCAGATCACCAAACCTAGGCTAAATATACATCAAACTGGGTACAAAATTTATCAAACAATCAGAAATTTAGCAAATTCAGAGCAGTACACAATACATTTAAATTAGGCAACAACTATTGTTCCACAACACAACCACCAGAGTGTATAGCATGTAAGCTAATCAGAATGAACTTCGAGTTTGTAAATATTAGGCAAGGATAAGCAAGTACAGCATGGATTCCGGGTAGATAATTGCACAACCATATAAATAAAATGATGAAAAAAGTGCCACTTCACCTGGACAGGCACATATGAACTTGGAGCTGCTATAGGTGGGGGCGCAGGCATTGGTACAGGTGGAGCATGATAACCTGCATAGGGATCATATGGTGGAGGTGCAGGTGCCATATACCTGAACCAAATTTTATCTTCTTGTCAAATAAGCAACTTAACATAAAACGATGTACCAAATACACATTGTCCAATTTCTATACAGAATCTGAAATATGAAGGAGAAGCAAATGGCCTCACCCATGAGGAGGTCCCCACACTGGAGGAGGTGGAGGGTGGAAAGGAGATGGACTATACACAGAGTGTGTGCAGTCACCACCAGTTCGTAGGCGCTTACTTTGATCATAAGCATTTGAATCCCCAACAATACCTACAGAATAAAGATCGAGTTCAAAGGTTATATATGATATGTGATATTACCAATGGAAGTAAGAAACTAGATAAAGGGGAGAGCGTAACGAGACCCCATATAAATGCACAAAACTGTATCAAACATGCTTTAGTAACATGACCGACTGATGCTTAAGATAGAAAATACAGCCACATTATGTCATAAAGGTAGAGCTAACCTCTTTTAACAAAGAGATTCTTCTTGGCCATCTCTGTATGTATCACAGACTTTGACTCAGCATCAAACACAAGATGCTACATGCCAAAAACAGCATATGTCATAAAGTGAAGACAAAAAAGGATTTGAATCAACAATGATCAGGAGCAGACAGACCTGAAGGTTATCTTTGGCTGCCATTGCATACTGAGCCGTGGAGAAAAGAGCAAACCCCATAGGCTTTTCTCCCTTGAAGTTCACCTGAGAAGCCTCGTAACCAGGCAACCATCTTAAGAGATTCAAAAGCTCTCTCTCTTTTACATCATCAGGAAGCCCTGCGATGAAGATTGTCCGAAGCTGAACAAGATTCAAAATTGTGTAAGAGATCACGTTTTCCCAAAATCACAAAACTCCAACTACATAACTACATAAGAGAACCTTTCTCACTAGTGCAACAGGTCATAAGTGAGATTTTAGTAACAAACTTTAAAATCATTCTCAAGGCCATAACTTTGGACATTTATCTATAAATCTCTTAATGACAATAGGAAGATACTCTCCTAGTGCTTAAACAAAAATCAAGAAAGCCCATGTCGGCAACACATCACAAGAATTCACCGATATGTATAGAGAGACGAGAGAAAGAGTGGAAACCTCGTCATAAGGAGGACGATTATGGTTGTCAACTAAAACAGGAGGAGGAGGATGATGGTGATGAATGGGCGGGGGATGTGGTGGAGCAGCTGATGATACTGCGGCGGGAGGAGGTGGCGCACCTGCCGGCGGCCACTGCTGATGGTAAGGGTGGATTCCGGCGCCGGCCATGAGATCAAAAACCCTAATTAATCAGAGAGAGAGAGAGAGATTGATTGTTCGAAAAAAATTCTGGGGAAGAATTGAACGCAAGTGAGCAGACTTATTTTTTAAGTCACATGCATCGCACGCGAACACTGTTCCACTTTAATTTTTTTTCTTTATTTTTCTGTTAATTTTTGGGTGAATTAGGTGAATAACCATTCTAGATAAAGTTATTAAATATATAGCACTATAATGAGGTAAATGAAGGAAGTAACACAAGTGGAAGATAAAAAGTCGAAAAACTCCTTTTCATTTTATAAGGGATGAAGACGCGCGTGTTATGAGAGGAGAGTAACACACTCGTGGCTGCATTTGGATCGAATGATTTCGTTTCAGTTTGTGGACGTACGCGTAAGGAGTGAGTTGTAGCGGTGGTGGTGTTAATGACAATGGTGGTGATTGTGTTGGTATGGCGGCAACGATGTGGCGTTGGTGGTGCTTGTCGCGGTGGTGGCGGCGACTTCAACTCCAATAGGTTCATCATTATCTATTTATCTTCAATGCTAATTTGCAGCGTAAGGAGATGAGAAGAAACACTCAATTCCAGAATCACAAGCTTCCAGTTAACATCAAATAATGGAGAATCAAGATGTCGAATAGTAAATTTCAGTTTAGGAAAAATAGTATACTATTTTCATAAAAATCTATACTATTTGTATTCAACTAATGAGAAATTCATTTGCAGATCAAACGATAGACCCCAACAACGGCGATATCTTGACTAAAGTTTTCAAACTGAAATGTTAAAAAGATCATTGAAACAGTATCGGTCATTCACTCGTCTGTTCTTCACTTTCCAAAACCCAATTCACGTTTTTAAAGTTACCAATATCTTGTCGATTCGAATCAGAGAGATTCTGGTTTAGGCTCTTAAGCAGATGAATCAAATGGGAGTCCCCATGGCACTTGTGAGAGGGAGAGAAAATGGAGGAGGCCGGGAGAGAAGAAGAAACTGAAAAAGAACAGAGAGGTGGAGAAACGAAGAAAGAAGAGACAAAGATGCTTTTGGGGTAATTGTGTCTTTAATACATATTACACACATTATATCACAAGAGATTTTTTTTTTGGTTAGTTTCTTAAATAAAGTTTTTTTGTTGGTTATATTTGCCAATTTCTCTTAATTTTTTTATAATTTTATTTATATTTTATTTTTTTACAGCAAACAATGATTTATTCAACTAATCTATACTAGTATAATCGCAGCACTTTTTGTGACGGGTGGGTAAAAAAGCTTTCGGGTATATCGGATATCCGACCCATTTTAAAAATTCCTTCACAAAAAATTTGTTGGGTCGGGTTATATTTAACCCAACTCATACATCGGATATTCCATATTTAATAATTTAGATTTTTAGAAGATTTGATTAAGATTTATAATTATGACTAGATTTTAACCCGCGGTACACCGCGGGGCTATATTTTCTTAAAAAAATCAAAATGTAATTTGTTTGATAGATTATTTTGATTGTTAATTTTAGGATTTCACCCGTGGTATACTATCTTTTATAAATATCAACCCAAACCCGTCCCATCATATTACCCGTCCCGTGAAATTAAACATCATTTAGTTATTTTTCTTTTTAATAATACTTTTATTTAAAAGCTATATAATTCAAGTCAATTTAAAAAATTTTTTTAAATGGTTCCCATAAGATATATATACATCTATATATACATTTTTTGTTATTGAATAAGAGGATATTATATGTAAGAAATGTAGAAAATAAGAGTTTAATATTTTTATTATGGAGTCGCAAGAAAAATCTTTTATTTCTATACATGTTATTCGTTTATTAATAATAAAAGAAAACAAATCCTTTAAATTAGATATTAACTAAAATAAACGCACCATAATTACTTATTAAGTAACAACCAATAAATTTCACCAAAAAATAGGTAACAACCAATAAATTCTAAACGCAGTAATTAAAGAATGAGATATTAAAAAAAAATATCAAATAAGATATAAGAATCTTAAAATAATTGAATATCTAAATAATTTAATTGTTAGTGTCGATTTTAATGCCTTCATTAATGTGGATTTTTTTTTTTACAGAGAAATATTTCCTAAAGATTATCACATTAATGACTCAGAAAATTAAGGAAGATATGAATTTATGATTCTCGAAATCGTGTTGGTAATATCTTTAATTAATATTTTTCAAATTTAAATAATTAATGCCAATGGCATTCATCCGTAAATACATTCCAACTCCAGGATTTATTTGCTAAAAGTCATCCAAAAATGTATATATAGATTCTCCTATCATCTTTGTTTGATTTGTTTTTAACTGTTTTGAATCATCACATAATACATAAAGTAAAAAAAAAATCAATTTTTTTTCTACATATACTGTGATTCGAAATTTTAAAAACGGACATATATTATCCAATTGACGAAAATGTGTGTTCAACGTTCTACATCGATTAAAATATTTAGACAATGATTCAGAATCATATCATAAATAAGAACATTAATAAAATAAATGAATTTTTTGGCGGGATGGGTTTGGCGGGACGGGTTTTTGAATCAACAATAATAAAAAGATTAAAATATCATTAATCCGCCGTTTCAATACGGATTTAATCCTTATTTTTAATACAAATCACTGGACGGGTTAAGAAATTACGGAACGGGTTATATTTCGGAAATGATTTATATGGCGGACGAATTTGAATCAATATTTATATACCGCTTTAATACAGGTTAAATCCTCAGTTTATTAATAATTATCTCGTGGACTCGTGGTATACTGTTACTTAATAACAGTTGTAAACTATAATATAAATAAATATGTTATAAGGAGATACAATTTACAAAATATTTTTATACTAACTTTAAAATTAAATCATCCTACGGTGTACCGCGGGTTAAAATCTAGTAGATTCTTTACAAAGCAAACGTTTTAGCCACATCGGCTTGTGAACAGAGCTTGAATAGAACTCTCCAGTGAAAGAATTAAGACATGCTAAATTATGAGCTATACAATTTTCTGTACGTTTAGTAAAAGTAAAAATTACAGAGGAAAATTTAGTTGCCCAATAATCAATGTCCTGAAGTAGATTAACCAAATCACAGTGGTGGGAAAGCCCATTGATCATATTGAGAAGAATCTCGCAATCACCTTCAAATTGAACGCACTTAATCCCTCTTATCCAAGTTTGTTGCATCGCCATCAATAGTGCTTTCGCTTCAGCCTCCAAAGGAGATGATGAATTCGGAAGTTTAGAAGCGCCTCAAACTTTTGGATCACCGTGAAAATCTCGTATAATCCAGCCTCCGGTACCATGTGAAAATCTTGCATCAAAACCTGCATCAAAATTACATTTGACCATCGACGGGTGTGGTCTTGTCCAAGTAGGCGCCATGAAATTTTGATTATTTATATTTTTATTCGGAAGTTGTTTCTCTCTCAAGTTATTGATCTATTCTTGAACTTCTGCTTGGACTTGTCGAACAATACGTGTCGGACTTTCAGCATATTTATTAAAAACTAGTTTATTCCGTGCCTTCCATATTTTCCAAAGGAGCCAGAAAGAGAACAATTTTTGATTGGTTGTGAGGGTTTGGTTATGATAAAGATCAATGATATAAGTTCTCTTCCAAATCAGAGGAAAAATGATGCGCCTATAATATAGGTATGTTTGATAGATGCCAGGCCATTTTTTGCGAAGGAACAACTAAAAAGTACATGGTTTATAGTTTCTTACTCATCTTGGCAGCGAAGACAAGTAGATCCAATCGACATTTTATTTTATTTTCAGTTTTTCTTTTTTTTTTTCAATTGTTATTACAATTTTTTTTTATAAACAGAAAAAAAAAGTTCTGGCTCGGCAAAAATATTTGAGTTTATTTTCGAATCTCACTAATACCAAACCCAAATTTCCATAACCTAGACCTAGACCTAACACCAAATTTAATGTATCTACATCCATCTTAAATTCATCTTTATCCAAATTAATGACAGTTTTGGAAAATGGTTTGAAGTATTCAAACTACCTATAAAACACATTTATTGTTTACTTAGTTAAACCCCAGTATTAGTGATCGAGTTATACAATATTAGGGTTATATTAGGGTTATTCCTAAATTACTAAAAGTAAATGACACTTCTTTAATGGTCCGACTTAATTTTACTAATCTTGATTATATAACCCAACTCAGACCCGACCAAACAAAAAAACATCGTTAACGTGTAACAACACAGAGCCACACACAGGTGCGATTGTGTTCCACGCTCTTTCCATTGACGCGTAGAGATACCTTTGTCTCTCTTCTCTCTCACCATTTAACTTTTTCATCATTTTCACAATTTCTTCAATGAAGCTTCGTTCTCCTCTTGATTTGATCTCTTCGAAAAACGACGAATCAAACAAACCCTAGAACCAATGATGATTATAAATACGAACCTGGAACTGGAAGAGAAAGAATCAACCTTGTGAAAACAAAAACAAAAAACCTTTTGATTCTCCCTCGATTCTTCTTCTAAAAGCCATGAAACCGATTCAATCTCCTCCTGGAGGAGTAGCTTCACCTACCAAGAACCGTTCACGCAAACGTCCTGACCTAAGCTTACCACTCCCACACCGCGACGTCGCTCTCGCCGTACCTCTCCCTCTCCCACCACCCTCCTCCTCTTCTTCCGCTCCGGCGTCGTCATCTGCGATCTCAACCAACATCTCCGCCGCGAAAAGCTTATCGGAGCTAGAACGAGTGAACCGAATCGGAAGCGGAGCCGGAGGAACGGTTTACAAAGTAATCCACACTCCGACGTCACGTCCTTTCGCTCTCAAAGTGATTTACGGAAACCACGAAGATACCGTGAGACGTCAGATCTGTAGAGAGATCGAGATCTTACGAAGTGTTGATCATCCAAACGTTGTGAAATGTCACGAAATGTTTGATCATAACGGTGAGATCCAGGTTTTGCTTGAGTTTATGGATCAAGGTTCTCTTGAAGGAGCTCATGTATGGCAAGAACAGGAATTAGCTGATCTCTCTCGTCAGATTCTTAGTGGTTTAGCTTATCTTCATCGCCGTCACATCGTTCACCGTGATATCAAACCTTCGAATCTACTTATTAACTCAGCTAAGAATGTGAAAATTGCTGATTTTGGAGTGAGTCGGATCTTGGCTCAAACCATGGATCCTTGTAATTCATCTGTTGGAACTATTGCCTATATGAGTCCTGAGAGGATTAACACTGATTTGAATCATGGTCGCTACGATGGTTACGCTGGAGATGTTTGGAGCTTAGGTGTTAGTATCTTGGAGTTTTACTTGGGGAGGTTTCCTTTTAATGTGAGTAGACAAGGTGATTGGGCTAGTCTAATGTGTGCCATTTGTATGTCTCAGCCACCGGAAGCTCCGGTGACGGCGTCTCAGGAGTTTCGTCACTTTGTTTCTTGTTGCTTACAGAGTGATCCTCCTAAGAGATGGTCAGCTCAACAGCTTTTGCAGCATCCTTTCATACTTAAAGCTTCCGGAGGTCCTAATCTCCGTCAAATGTTGCCGCCGCCTCGTCCTCTTCCTTCGGCTTCCTAGGGTTTTTACCATTTTCGTCTTTCTTGTTTTCCGATTTTTCGTATTTTTTCCTGACAATTTTTCCACAAGTTTTGCATACCCCAAGCAAAGATAATGAAAGAGTAGAACAATGTGGTTTGTGATTGGGGTATGATTCGTCAGGAAGAAACTCAGTTTGTGGTTAGGGTTTATTGAGTCTTTCTTATGTTTCTTTTGGGTAATGAAGAATGTTTTGCTAGAAATGGAAAGTAAAAGACAAGAAGAATTGTTATGGTTTATTATGAGTGACTTTGGCTGGATTTGCTCATATTATTGTTCATATCAGGAAGTAAATGGAGGATCTTTCATTTGTTAAGTCTCATTAATAAAGCTTCTTCTTTTATTTCTCTTTATGGTTATTCTAGTTTCCTTCTTGTGAATTATTATTGTAAAGGCTACTGCTTTATCTTCTCTTTACCATTTATGGTCTAATAATTGCGGTAAAAGTTGAAAGCTTGTTTAGGTACTTTTGTTTGAACGAAATCATGTGATTCTCTTGCAATTGGTAGAATTCAGAAAGCTTTCATTTGTTTCCATCTTTGAGCATGCATGAAAACATTGGCTAGTCTCCCAATGGTTTTCTGTTCAGTATCCGTTAACTTGCCTTGAGGTTTTAGTGTGATTAGGAATCTAACTCTCAAGTGTCCAGTTTAGATATAGGTTCTCAGCACCTACTCAAAAAGTCTACCTTATGGCTAGTTCCTGTTTGTTATGTTGATCAAATATGATGATCTTCTCTTCCAGTTTCCACTTTTGGTGTGATGATATCTTCTCTTACGCTCTCAACTCAATGATATGTGATCTTATTCTCTTCAAGTTGTATGCAAATGCTTTTGTTCGTTTCAGGAACTAATCGGAGTAGTATCTTTATAACGTTCGACTTTTGTAAGTATAGATTTGGGATCAGAAGATAAACCTCTGTTGCAAGTGCGACGAGGAACCGGTTAGGTAATCAATTGGTCTCGACTTCTAATTAACCACATTAGACCTCTCCGCTGGGCCACTTCCTTCTCTGCAGGTTATTTGCTGATTGATTAACCTGAATACTTACTTCAAGCATTCAGCTTGCAGAGAAGGATAACTTGAGTGTGTGGCCCAGTACATAAGTCTACCCAGTCTTGTATTCGCTTTTGCGGGTATGTTTCTGCTCCTCAATTTCTCAAGATTTATAGTTCTTCGTAAGAGATTAGTGAAATGATGATTATAGGAAATGAACTTATGTTTCTGAAGGTAGTTTAGCTTTAGGTCTCCTAGATGTGTAGACTTTACATGATTGATGTCTTGAAACCAAATCAAAAACCAAACAACTTGCTTCTTACTGCTTGCTTCTTAGAGACTTTAATGTTCGAATTTACACATACATTTGAAACTCTCTAGTGTTTATTTAGAGAACTCGGTTTCCAATTTAGCTCGGAGATCCTTCCTCAGAATCTTGCCCGAAACTGCTTTCGGTATAGCTTCTATGAATAACACCATCTTGATCCGCTTGTAGTGAACCACCTATATATAAACCATCACACCAATGATTTAAGACATCAATCAACAGTTTCCATCTTTGTGTGTTTCGCGTTTAAAGACCCGAAAGCGAATTCTTACCTGTTTGTTTACATAACTCTTGACATCATCTTCAGTTAACTGAGACCCTTCAGATCTTACTACAAATGCTACTGGAACCTCATCAGCTACTTCATCCTTCATTCTGAAAATTCAAGTATCATTAGAGACAACACACATTTTAGTGTTTCAGTTTGGAAGTTTCAGATATGTTTTAACTCACGCAACAACTGCGGCATCATCAATAGAAGGATGAGAAATAAGCAATGCTTCAAGCTCAGCTGGAGCCACTTGGTAGCCTTTGAATTTGATCAGTTCCTTCAACCGATCAACAATGAAGATCTCATCATCATCATCCACAAACCCAATATCTCCTGTGTGTAACCACCCGTCTTTGTCTATGGTTCGAGCAGTAGCTTCCGGATCATTCAAATAACCTAACAAGATTGCACCTATCAATATATATTCTCCCAAAAAAAAAGGGACAAAACTTTGATCGTTTGACCTTTTTTACCTTTCATGAGCTGATCCCCTCGGACACAGATCTCACCAGATTTGTTGCGTGGTAAGGAGCTTCCGGTTATGGTATCGACCACTTTCATCTCGGCGTTTCTGATCACAGTCCCACATGCACCGGACTTGGTTTTAAATGGGTTCTTTGCAAACGCTAATGACTTAGCTACTGTTCCGGACTCGGTCATTCCATAACCCTGAAAAAAAGTTAGTTTTAGTCATTACGAAAATGTAAAAACGACAACATTCGAATATTGTCCAATATGATGATAACATCGCCACTGACGAAGACATGAACCAAGAAACGGCACTGTAATTAAGTAAACGAGAAATTAATGTATAACATGTGCGTTGTTGGTCGTGATTATTGAATTAAATCTGATAGGGATTGTATACGTTTACTTATATGATCCCACAATCTATCAATAAGTCAACACTTTGTTGTTTATTGTCAAATCAATAAGTCAAACACTTAGAACTAATAATAAATGAACTATAAAATCTACTTGGAATTTTGGATGGGGTGATTAGTATAAGGAGACGCGTAATGAATGTTTCCCCAATAATGGACAAAACTATGCCAAAAAAGATGATCACTAACTATTACTCCCCGTTTCACAAATAGTGTCGTTGTAAAGTTTTAATTTTGTTTCACAAAGAGTGTCGTTTTGTGTTTTCAATGCAGTTTTAAAGACTAATTTTTTTTTATCCCTACTATTTTAGTTTATTAATTAGTGAGAGAGTATTATTTAGTGTATTAATAAGGGTAGAAATGAAATTTGTTTATTTTTCTTAATTTATGTGAAAATGACAGAATGACACTCTTTGTGAAACAAATGGAATATTAACTTATAAGGATCTTCTTCAAAAATTAAAATGTGTGAATTCTTATCCAAAAAAAATCATTATATAAGATGAAAGCAACACGGCAAGGCCTTGTGATTAAAGTGGAGAAAGTGTCCTCTAGGCAATGTGATTAAAGTGTTTTTTCCACATACATTATCGTTTTATCGTGTGTGTCAGTGTGTGTGACCTAAACTCCATTTAAAAGCAAATTATTGTACTGTGTTTCACAAATGATATGTTTGTTTATTTGTCTATGTTTTGCATCTTTCTCATCTTTTGATATGATGCAAAATATGGATGTAAAAATAACTTTTTATTTGTTATCTCTTTATAGAAATTTTTTTCTGTTGAGGATTGTTTCGTGTCGGTACTATTAATCTACTATCACTTCTTTTGTATTGAATTTCAAACTAATCACATGAAAAATTCTACAATAAATAAGTACTTTAGTGAAGTTGGACCATTATTAATCTTAAAAAACCACATAACTAGAACCCCTTTGTTATTGCTTTAGGTTCGTTGCATGTCAGATAAATCTAGCCTAATACAAGGATCTAATCTACCTACATTTCAATCATTTTTGTATTACAATAGCCAGGTAAATTGGACAAAGCACAAACTAAACCATAGATTGATCAATTTATGACGCTACTAAAGTAAACTGGTTTGAGATTCTTAAAAGTCTCAAAGTCTATCAAAATGGCGTAATTTGTCCAGAAATGAATCAAACCTTCTATTTGGTCGTCTTAACGTGGGTGCTACCTATTGGTTTTTAAGTTTTTAGCTTTTAAGAGAATACAATATATACTTTATTGGTTATATGATTTGGATTTGTCTTTGGATAAAATATATTAATCGTTTACCCACCACGAGACACTAAACTTTCACCTAATTGATCGACTTGTATATACTCAAGATAATGACAACGATAGGTAATCACTGTCTACTTTTGATAAAGCCAAAATCTTCTAGTTTTATTAAGTCAAAATAATATTGGTACTTTAACATCTCAATTACCAATAAATATTCGAAATTTGGTGTCACCAAAGATCTAGACAATGGCATAAATAGTTTTAAAGCCTAGATTTGGTGAACCACTCATCCATTTTCTTAAATATTTCCATTTGATTACTCAAGTTACTAGACAAATAGCACATAGCGACAAATCTTCACCTACCGGCAGTATATACTACTAACTTAATCTTGTATATTTTACTACTTATACGAAGATGACAAAAATCAATAACTCTCAAGTACCACATGAAACGTATGTAGATCTAGATAACTCTCAAGTTCATCTCAATAATCATGTTAATAGGATTTTTTACGTTTTGACTAGAGTCCATATGCCCAATTGCAATAAAATTTATGAAGAAAATAACAAAAATAATTATGAAAGTACAGAGGAGGTTAATTAAAACTGACCTGACCAAAAATGGCATTAGGAAACTTGAGTCGCACGGCGTCTTCAAGCTCCTTCTTTAATGTAGCTGCACCTGATAGCATCATTCTCACCGAGCTCAAGTCGTATCTCTCCGTATCCGGGGACTTAACTAATGCTAGAACAACCGGAGGAGCCACCGGAACCACCGTGACTTTGTACCTTTGAATCAGCTCCATCACTAGATTCAACTCGAACCTAGGCACGATCAGTAACGCCGCACCGGTTCTCATAGCCGAAAGCATCAACGCGTCGAGAGCGTAAATGTGAAACATTGGGAGAAAACAGAGGATGACGTCATTGGCCGTGAAGTGTAGGTTAGGGTTTTCTCCGTCGACTTTCTGAGCGATGCTTGTAACCAAACCCTTGTGAGTAATCATCACTCCCTTTGGCAGTCCCGTTGTCCCGGAGGAGTACGGCATCGCCACTGTGTCATCCGGCGAGATCTCAGGTTTAGGAAGCTCTGTTTCGTCAGCTTGAGTCAGTTCCGTAAAACTCACGCAACCATCATCAGTCGACGAAACAACGCCGTCACCGTCATCGTCTACACAAACGATCAAAACGCCGTCGTTTTTAAGGGTTGTTAGCTTATCTACTAAACATTTCTTCGTGATGATCATCTTCGCGGCGGAGGCTTTTGCCTGTTTTGCTATCTCCGGCTGCGTATAGAACGGATTCGCGGTGGTGGAGACAGCTCCAAGGTAAGCCACGGCGAGGAAAGATAAAGCAAACTCCGGCGAGTTCGGGAGAAGGAGCATTACGACGTCACCGTGGCGGATCCCGAACAGGTGGATTCCGGCAGCAATCCTCTGCATGTTGATTTGTACATCGGCGTAGGTTAAGATACGGCCTGTGGCACCGTCAATGATACAAGTGGTGGAGGAATCGCCGTCGCCATCGGCGGAGAATTTGTGGAAGACGTAATCGGTGAGAGGGAGGTGATTGGGGATGAAGATATCAGGAAGCTTGGATCGGAAAATGAAATCATGAGAAG